CTGAAAGAGGTGCTCCCCACTGTGCTGTTTGGTGGATAGAAACGGGAAAGTGGTAGTGAGCAAAGAAACCTGTGTGCCGAGATACTGACCCCAAACTTCTATACCTTGGCCTGTGGGACTCAGCACTCCATTTCCGGAGCACCTACACCCAGCGTTTATGACCACTCTGGACAGCGCACGCGCCCCAACACCTTTACACAGCAGCTAGCAAAGGGCTTGCACGCAGCATACCGGGGCTTACCAGGGGTTTGAAAGGAGAAATAAAATACTTTTCTCTTTATTTTTTTCCCCAGGTACTGAGACTTGGACCCAGAGCCTTTACAATGAGTTACATCTCTAGCCCTTTTATTATTTTTGAGTCTTGCCAAGTCATTAAGCTCCCCAGGCTGGCTCAAACTTTAATCCTCCTGCCTCAGCCTCCCAGAGTGCTAGGGTTATAATAAGTGTGCATCACTGCACCCAATTCATCAGGAGCTCTTTATTCTTAAGGAGAGGTTCAGGTTACCCCACTCCCACCTGGCCAGCATTTAAAGCCCGAGATCCCTGCCATGGGTAATGTTGATGATCCACATGGAGAGACATTTTGGCAACTACTGACTAAGGTTTACTGAGGTAGAGTTTATGAACCAATCATTTTCCTGATTAATTCCTCAAAAACTTCTATAAACTGGTATTCAGTGTCTCCCGTGTTAATAGCAGTACAAGTCACAATAGACAAATATTGGAGGCAGCCTATATGTCCACTAACAGATGAATGGATGAAGAAAATGTGGTATTTACATGCAATGGAGTATTACTCTGCCATAAAAAGGATAAAATCAAGTCATTTATAGAAAAGTAGATGTACCTTGAGACCATGATCTTAAGTGAAATAAATCAGATACTCACGCTTACATATCACATGGCTTCTATTACATGAGAAACACGGGTTATAGACAAAGAGCAAAACCAAAGACAGACAATAGGAAGCAGGGAGACAGATCTTTTCCAAAGGGGAAGGGATCTGGAGATGGAGGGAGGAGCCGGAGGAGAAGAAAAGAGATGAGAAAAGGAACCAAGCAAGTCAGTAGCGGTGGCAGCTCTGTACAGGGAATGCACACATCGTGCACTGCAGAGATGGACTAATAAAATAACAATAACAGCGGAAGGAGACACGGACGTTTACACAGTGTCGGCATGCTGAGGCCGGGACGGCATGGCTGTGGGTCTGTGTCTGGCTGGCTGAGGCTTCCTGTGAGGATTCGTTGCTTAAGTCTCCAGTTTCATCACCAGAGAAGTAACTTCTGCGTTTCCCTCCAGCCTGAGAGCAGCAATGTGCCTTTTGCTTCAGTCTTGGGTTAAAGACCAGCTACTGAGCTTTCTGAGGCATTATGTGAGTGCCTCAAATTTATATTAAACCCATGTTTTATTCACTAAGTTGTTTCTGCTTATTTTTTCAGTCCAATAGAAATCCAAATCTTAGACTACATTAGCAAAAAAACCAAAACCAAAACCAAAAACTAGTGCTTCTTGCACAGCCTCAACGCCACGTGGTTTTGTGCTAACGACACGTGGGGCTCCTCTCCAGCCTCGGTGTTCACAGTTGCCATGTGTGTGAGGAGCCCAGCTTGCGTTCCGCTCTGATTTTTGTCGCTTACTTAGCTTTGGCCTTGGGCGGGTCATTTAATCCCTCTGTTACATGGGTAAAAAAGTTCCCACAGCAGAGCGTTGCTGTGAAGAGTAAATGAGCAGCGCACACGTGCAACGCGGCCAGACTCCTACATACAGTGACACATAAACACGGACCAAGCTGTTCGCACACCGATGTGCGTAAGACTCAGAAAAGGCTCAGGCTTTGTTTTCAGGGAATATAGTGAGGATTCTGGGCTCTAAAAAGCTCAGAAAACTGGGTATGATGGCACCTAATCCCAGCACTGCGGGAGGCTGAGGCAAGAGGATTGCAAACTCTAACCCAGCCTGGACAACTTAGCGATTTAGTGAGACTGTATAAGAATAAAAAATAAAAAAAGAGCTGGAGATGCAGCTCAGCGAGAAGGCCCTAGGTTCAATCCCAGTATGGCAATCAAGCAGTCAATCAATCAGTCGGAAAATACCCGTACTCCTGCATCTTGACCTCGGTGAACTATTATGATCAAGCAGAGTTATGTGCAATTCCATGTGTACAGTGGCTATTTATATTATCCAACCCAACCTTCACTGTGAATTACAAACCTGCCTACAGTGTGCACCGAGCACATTTCCAGAGCTGTGCCGTGTCTGCTCTCACCTCGGAGTCCAGCAGTTTGCTAGTTTGCTCTGAAGTAAATTCTTAGACATCTGAAGTAACTGGCTTTGATGAGAGCCTCTGAGGAAAGTGCTGGTCAGTCTGTACGCTGCTCCCAGAGGCCCATGTATGACTTGTGACAGCTGCTTGAAGTCCGTGGGTGACGGCACACTTCCCTGCACACCATGCTGTGCCCAGCATCAGTACTCGCTCAGGACTTGGGGGAGGTCTGCAAGCCGCTTCTGGGAGCAAGCTCGTCACCTCTGCAGCTTTCTGTGGTTGGAACTCAGCCCGGCTGCCTCCTCCTGCGGGGAGCACCATGGAGATGCCTTAGGGTTGTGGGTCTGCCCTGCCAGGCTCAGAAGAATCTGCACCCAGAGCAGTCAGGGTGTTGGAGTGAAGGCTTCCTCTCTGCTTGGAGAAGTATTGCTGTCCCACAGCAGCTTGCCTGGGGAGAGCTGTTTTTCCTGGTGAGGCAGGGATAGGATCCGACCCTTAGGGCTGGCACGGCTCTGTGATGCAGGGTCTCCCTGGCATGAACAAGTCCCAGGTTCAACCCCCAGTACTGAAGGCAAAAGAATGACCCCTTAGCACCAGGTGCGGTGGCACACACCTGTAATCCCAATACTTCGGAGGCTGAGGCAGGAGGATTGCCATGATTTCAAGGCCAGCCTGAGCTACCCAGAAAGACCCTATCTCAAAAAACCAAAAAAAAAAAAAAAAAGACCCCTTAAGATTGTAGAGATTAGATAGTAATACATGTTAGACTGAAGAACATAATGAGCATTTAAAAATATATTATTACTACTATAACTGAGACATTTTTGCATCTAGGGGCAAATGCTACTTAGGTAAAATATACCTGTGTTTTCTTTTATTTGCTCATTTGTAACCAATTTCCCAGTGCCATCCTCCTCTGTGCCCTCTGTCTAGGTAAACACCAATGGCTTCTGTCTGTAGGTCTTATTTACTTCTGTTTTAGAGATGATGTTTTGCTGTGCTGCCTTGGATTCCTGGACTCAAGCGATCCTACTGCCTCAGCCTTCTGAGGAGCTGCGACTTCAAGTGTGGACCACTGCACTTAGCTTTATTTACTTTCTGATGTAACAACAGAATGATCCCCAAAAGCGAAAGTGACAATGACCTAATCTGGCTAAAGCATTCTGAGTCACTTCCTTGCCATCTGTGCCTGTCCTGGGGACCAGTCAGGGCCACGAAAGGGAGCTGCACAAAGATCTGAGCACTGGGAGATCAGCCAGGAGGCTGGTTCCACTCCTGCCTCTGACCCCAAGTTTCATGTCCTCCCCACAGGCCAGAGGTATTTCCCCTCCTGAGGTCCCAGAAACCTACCTTAAAACAGCTAAAAAGTCCTCTAATGCACTGAGTTGCCTCTTTATGGGGCCTCAGTAAAGAACTGTACAGGCAGTTACATCTTCAGACACTGTGTTCTCTCCTGGTAGGACCCTGGGTTTTCCTAGTCTAGATGGGTTTTTTTGGTGGGGAAAGGTTTCGTTTGGTTGGTTTTTGCAGTACTAGGGGTTGGACTCAGGGATTCTGCCATGGAGCTACAATGCTACCTCTTTATTTTGAGACAGCATGCTGCTAAACTGCTCTCACAAGGGTGAGGACCTTCCTGCTCAGTCTCCTGAACAGCTGGGATTACAGGTGTGTGGCCCTGCACTTGGCTGCCAGAGGTAGTTCTGGAGAGGCTGGGACTTTCTTTTTTTAAAATGACAATTCATTGAGATATTTAATAGACAGTGCAAACCCTAACTTCCTCTGAATGTAGATGTGCACATGCGTTTCCAATGAGTTGTGTATCAGTTGTCATGAACGGCAACAAGGACCTTAGAGCTGCACTAGAAAACTGCAGAGCTGGGGTTGAACAATCTCCCCTGCTGCCACGAGAACACACCCATGTAAGAATTTAATTCATTCATTAATTAATGGTAGCCAAGTTTTATTAAAGGTAGGAAGAGAAGGAGGCTCTGGGGGTGAGCTTGGGCCAGGTAAAAGCAGAAAAAGTAGTGCGTCCCCAGCGTGCAGGCGGCCACCATGCAAGAGGGCACACAGTGGCAACTCTCAGCGTGGACTACCTTTTCGTGTTGCCCGTGCCTCAGGCTGGCGCCAGCCTAAGGCCGTGCAGTCAGAGACCTGCTTGAGCTCTCGTGAGAAGTCCACAGAGAACACACCCATTTATGTCCATGTCGCAAACTCCAAAAGATGCGGGTGGGGTTGAAGAGGGACAGAGTGTGACACAAGGCCAGTGCAGAGGAGACAGACACAGCTCTGGAGGAAGCCAAACCCAGCATTGTGACAGCTGAAGACAAGAAGCCTATGGCTTTTAAAGACCCACTTTCCGCCAACACCATACAAGTTCCACGGATGTGGGCAAGTCAGTCACTCAGGAAGGAAGCCAGGTGTCAGGTCATTCTAACTGCACTGGTCAGCCCTTTCTGTGGAGGGCTGGCAGTGCCACTGGCGCAGTCCGAAGCTCACTGGCAGATTTAAAAACTTACAGCATTCAACACTGTGAACAGCAGTGCTCCCCCTCCCTCCCGCCTCACGGAACATGCGGCACCACCAGCCCCCTTAGTGGGCGCTCTCCCTCCCCTCTCCCTGCTGGTGCGGATGGCGGGGCTACGGCCCTAGCGGACGAACTGTTTGGGGCCCACTGGTCTCCTGCACAGTCTTGGTCAGTGCCTGCTGATCTAGCCCTGATCCTGCCTGAGCTCACCCTGGTCAAACTTCTTCAAAGCCCACAGGTTTGCAGACAGCTGCTGGACTCCGGCGAGCTCATGCTGGTTACAGGGTCCTGCAGTGGCTCCCCACCTCACCGCGCCGTGCCGCCTGCGCCGTGGCCCCAGCAGTGCAGCGGTGTTCTGAGACTGCGGTGTGGGATTGGCTGGGACGCGCGCCTTCTCAGCCTCCTCGTGCACGTCAGTGCCCGCGGGGCCGTGCTTGGCGCCTCTGCAGCCGTCAGTGCCCGCGGGGCCGTGCTTGGCGTCTCGGCAGCCGTCAGTGCCCGCGGGGCCCGTGCTTGGCGTCTTGGCAGCCATCAGTGCCCGCTGCATCTCTTCTTCCGGGACTTCCTGTTCCTGCTCAGCCTCTCCTCCGTGTCCTGTGGTCTGGCGGCCTCCAGGGTCAGGCTGCCCTTGCTGGTGGCGCAGTCCAGCCCCTAACAGCTTTCCAGACGCCAGCACTGTTTCTGCTTTCCTCCACCTCTGCCTGCAGCAGGCCCGGCCACCCACCCCTCATCCCCAGGCCCAGCCCTGAAGCCAGGAATTTCCAAACCAAGTAATTCCAGAGCCTTTCCTCTCCTTCTCTCTCTCCCTTCACATTTTACATTGAGTATAGAGAAGAGATCCGGTAGCAACTGCAACAGCCCACTCAGGACCTCTTGGACACCTCACTGTTCAGTTACTACACCAGCAGTGTCGTGCATTGTTTCTGCTGCCTTAACAAGGTCACCTGTCCTCTAGCTCCTCACGAAAGGCCACCCGATGGCAACAGCCAGCCTTTCCCAAGCCGTTTGGGCATCACTAGCGCTGTCCTTGAAGAGCTCTGCCGGTTCCCCTGCTGCCGGCTCCACATTTCTCCTGCTTCCAGGTTTCACTTGGGCAGTGGCACCCACCCCTGCTTCGCGCTGCCGCCCCCGCATGCCCTGCATGGCCAGGAGCGTCCTCACGGTCACAGGTTCTGTGAGCACGCATTTCCTGTGGCTGCTGTGACGAGTGGCCACAAGCATGGTGGCCTAGGGCCACTCAGAGGTGACCTTGCCCCATGCTCCAGAGCCTGTCAGGTCCTTGGGCTGTGCTCGGGCATAGAGCTGCCTTCCTCCTGGGCTCCAGACCCATCCCCTGGGTCCTCCCCTGTGCTGGAGGCCACCACGCTGTGCCCTCTCCACCCTCAGCCGTGAGCTCTTGTGTGCTCCCTCTGCCCCTCTCCCCGGTAAGGCTCTGCGAGATCGCTCAGGCCTCCTGGCTCTCCAGAGTCCTTGCCCTGTTTGAGGGTCAGCAGATCAGCAGTCTGAGTCCATGTGCTATGGTCACCGCTTGGCAGGTGTTGGGACTCAGCTGTGGGCTCTGGGATGACAACTGGGACATCTTGGGGAGGAGCTGCCACTGCCCATCACCATGGGGTATCCAGGGGTGAGCAGGGCCTGTAGCCACCTGCAGGACTCACTGCCCAGAGGCTGCCCACCTAGGCCCCTCTTGGGACAAGGCCGTGGACTTCCCTCAGCCTCAGTAGGTGCAGGGCACACTGCCCAGCCCCCATAGCTCCCCAGCAGGCAGGAGGAGCCCCTGCAGGCTGTCAGAGAAGACCCTTTCTGACCTGACATGCCCCTGCCGCCTCCGTGTGCCCACCACTCTTGGCCTCTCCTGCCACCCGCCACCCACCCAGCCCACCTGTCCACAGCTCAGCTTCCCTCCCCCCGATTCTGAGCACAGGGGAACAGCGGCTTCACCCTTAGCTCAATTTCCTAATACCCAGTGCCACGTGGCTGAGTTGAATTGCACAAGGACGAAGTCCGAGGACAGAACTTGGAGTCAAACCTGGCTTCTTCCAAGGGCAGAGTTCCTTACGTGGAGTTGAGGGCCAGCCAGAGATGCCTGCCAAATCCCTGAGAGGTGAGCAGCTTCACAGAACAGCAGGGGACTCAGGGCTGGGGATGATGCATCAGGATTCTTTTGATCCCCCTTTTGCTGGGATGGTGCTGGGACTGAGAGGCACGCTGAACACCTTGTCTGTCTGACTGTGCGTCCACCGAGACTCCTCAGCTGCAAAGTCGTTCTGGACCTCCCCATGCCTGGCCATGCGGTGACGCCCACACCAAGGACGTGCAGGCCTTACTCAGGCATCCAGTCTTCTCTCCCAGCACTGCCACGTGGCCCAGAGAGACTGCTGACTATTTCCCCAAAGACAGGGTTTGTCAGGACCCCTAAAATGTAAGTCCCCCGTCTCCTGTGCTCTCCTTGGATGGCAGCATGAGCCTCCCCTGGACTCCCAGAGACGTGTGTCAGTGACAGTTATGGCAGCACCTGTGGAGTGAAGATGGCTTCAAATTAGACAGCTTGAACACTGGGCCTGGGGGAGAGTGTACCTGAGAGGCCGAGAGGCTGAGGCAGGAGGATTGCAAGTTTGAGACGAGCCTGGGCAACTTCATAACCTAACAAGACCCTGTCTCAAAGTAAAAAAACAAAACAAAACAAAAACTGGAAACGTATCGAGTGCAAAGGCCCTGGCTTCAACCCACAGTACTGCAAAAAATAAAAAAATAAATTAGCTCAAATTTCTTATAGAACCCAAGGAGACTTTGGGGTAATATGTGAACTGGAAGGAAAGAATCTGCCGGTTTCTGGCCCAGAGATGACCTTTTAAAGGCATCTTTGTTAGCTGTGAGTGGCAGAGGTTGGAGCCAGCCAGCACCAATTCTAAAACGTTAAGCTGACCTTAGGTAACAAGGGCCTGAGGTCGGCGGGGGTCAGGACTGGTCGAGGAGAACTCTTTGCCTTTTGTGGAGAGCTTTCTAGAGGCGTCAGCTTTCTGTCCCTCCCTCTGTCGTTTCTGCTCTCACCGGCCTGGCTGTTTTCAGAGCCCTCTGTGATTTGCAGTCTGACTCACAGGCTGACCTCCCGCCCAGGGCCACAGGGGCAGCCAGATGCGGAGGCCGGAGCCTCCTCCCGCTTGGCAGGGTGGCTGGGCCAGGAAGCCTGGAGACAGGTGTCTGTGAGCTGCCAGTGGGGCATGGCCACTGCAGCTCTCGGACCCTCCTCGGTGCGGTGTGTACATGAATGTCTGGGTCGGTGCCTCTGATCAGTGATCACTGAAGTCACTCAGACTTTTGGGAATAGTTTTTTTTTTTTCTCATCACCAAAATGAGTTCTGAACCAATGATACGGTCCAGCTTTAAATCTTGTTAGTTTAGCTAGAACGCCTAGGCCTCTGGTACAGTTAACGGGTGCATGATGCTTTCTACAGCATCTGCATCTCTCCGGGAAGGAAGCCAAGAGAGTCCTTCTTCCTGCGTCCCTGCAAAGCACTGGCATTATCCAGGCGCAGCGGGCCCCTGAGGCCCTGGCTCCCAGGGCTCACTCTCTGATTTGGCCCCAGACTATTTCAGGGATGAAGCCCAAGCTCCCGCCCCACTCCTGGAGCACCCTGTGTGTGGGGTTGTGTCCGGTGCCCGCAGTGACGTCTGTGTCCTCGCTGAGCATCTCTGCTGCACAGCAGGGCTCAGGCGGGACTTCCTCCTCTGCCTGTGTGCTCACAGCACGTCTGCGTGGACACCTCTAAGCAGGAATGGAAGCCGCGGGCACTTCCCACACACCACCATCGGCAAGGAAAGCAGTCGGCAGCGCTGGTGCCAGCTTTTCTCCTCTCCTCTCTTGAGTCTGCAGGGCGTGGGTCCCCGCTGCAGTGAATGCAGCTCCCTGGAGAGCCCGGCCTCACCCCTCAGGGGCCTCTCAAAGGCCATGCTGCTCTGGCTGCCAGACGCCATAGAGGAAAAATGAACCAGCGGAGGACGTGGAAAGGGCTGCGCTGATGACCAGGGCCACTGCCTCCAGGGCTTGTGCGGAGGGACTGCACGTGTGCACGGGGCACTGTGTCGAGCCCAGGGCCTCACGCGTGCCCCTTGACCGCTCTGCCACAGAGCTGCATTGCCAACCCTTTTAATTTTATTTTTTTTAGAAACAGGATTGCCCAGGATTTACAGTCCTCCTCCTTCAGCCTCCCAGAGAGCTGAGATTACAGGCACCTGTCAGTGTGTGTGTGTGAGTGAGATGCTGTGAGCACTGGTGATAACACGCCACCTGCAGGGCGAGGAGACCAGGTTGGTGGGGCAGGAGACAAAACCCGGCCCTGTGAACAGCACGCAAGCCACGCTGCGTGAGAGTGGTGCGGGGAGAAGCCTCCTGACTGCAGCCGCGGCCGCAAGGGAGGTGGCATCTGAGCTCAGTTTGGAGAGCAGGAACGAGTCGGCCAGAGGTGGGGAATGCTCTAGAGAGAGCGAATAGAAAACAGCTCAAATCAAATCCTGGAGGAGGCAGCAGACGGAAAGCAGCAAGATCCTCGGTTTTGGTTTGAAAGTCATATTGAGGAAGAGAAACGTGGAAGAATACCGGAATGGAGGGCAGAAAAAGAATTACAGGCAAAAGCCCAGGGCTGTGTGCACCCGTCATCCTGCTCCTGTATTCCAGGAGGCCGGGCAGGAGGACTGCAAGCTCAGGCCAGCCTGGGCTCCATAGAGACTCAAGGCCAGCCTGGACCCCATGAGACCCTGTCGCAAAAAACAAAACAAAGCTGAACAAAAAAACCCCAGAAAAAACAAAAGTTAAAGACAAGATCACTTTGGAGGCTTACTTTAAAATGACTTTTATTAGGAGAATAATGAAAAAAGATGGTATAAAGCATTAGATGGGACGGATCTTGGACAGTCTTTAAGTTACCTATGCTCTGAAAACCGCTCGAGTAAAGGTCAGTAATGGAAATAAACTCCCACATGGGTAGTAACTCTAATATCTGGGGTCACTATAAGGATGAAGAAGATAATACTAGTCCAGCTCCTCGGTATTTATTTACTTATTTGCACACTGGAGATTGAACCCACGATGTTCATATTGAGCTCCATCCCTAGCCCTCTTAAAATGTTTTATTTTGAGGCAGGGTCTTGCTAAGTTGCTCAGGCGGGGCCAGACCATTTGACCTGATGCCTCAGAACCCTGGATGACAGGCGTTCACTGCATATTCAGCTCGTTGCTGACCTTTAAATGGTGTTCACTGGTCTACAACAGCAGGATTTGAAAAGAGCTTGGTGAGGAGATGGGTGGGCGGAGCCTGGGAGTGGACCAAGGACCGGGAACCGTGCTCCTGTGCCTGGGTCGCGCCGATCCAGACCTGGCGTTCGTGCTCGGCCAGCAGCCAGACCTCATCCGCTCCCCCAGCGATGCTGCCTCCCACACAGGCCTCGCGTGCCCTGCACTTGCTGGGTGCCCATGAAATACTGACTGAACAGTGGGGCACATTCTGAGTGTGGAGTTCATCGCACTTACATTTTATATGTGGAAACTTACTTTTCCCTGGTGTCTTGCAGGGTGACAGAAGGTGGAGCTGAAGCTAGGAGTCTCTCACTCTCCAAATGGTGCACGAAGGTCCAGCAGGCTGTGGATCCATCTGCTTGTCTCCAGGCTTTTGTACCTGAGCTCTCAGGAGCGCATCCTCCTGCCCCAGTGCTGTGCTCACTGCTCTGTGCCAGCCTCCCCACCACTGGGCCATTCTGGGGCCCCCATGGGCACAGTGTCCTCTGCTCCCAGCCTCCCCAAAGCCGCCATCCCAGGCTGAGTCAGAGCGGCTGAGGGCTTGGCTCCCTTCCCAGCTAGCTGCAGCTGGAGTTTCACCACTGTGCCCTCAGCTGCTGGACACCGCTCCTAAAACGGGAAGCTCCCTGTTGGCCCAAGGGCCCCCAAACCCTGGAGTCCCGAGCATTGGAGCCTCCAGACAGCCTTTGGTTTGGCTCCTGGGGAAGCCATGAGGGCAGAGGAGGCCAGCATCAGAACTTGACTGTGGGAAAGAGGCGAGGACTGGAAATGTAGATTGGGATCTAAATGCCAGCAGTGACAACCAGGACTGGGAGTGAGGAAGAAATCCATGGCTTTCTGAGCTAAGCCCCAGCCTGTTGCCATGGAGGACAGGCAGGAAGCCTGCAATTGAGCAGAGGATGCTTTGCTGTGGCCCTGCCCTCAGCAG